TTTTTTTTAGTGTTTGTAGAGTTTCAGTTTCTTATCACTTCGATTTTCAGATTGCTGAGTGAGGTGGTAGTACTTCTCACTAACTGCGGAGCATCAACTGAGGCATCATTAAGAGCAGAAATGGTTAGCAAGAGCATGATCTAAGAAAAATCCGAAACCTCATCCAATAATTCACTTTATTTTCCTATGCTACTGTAATGCAATGTTCAGGTGAACACTTTGGCTGGTGGCCAACAAACTCATTCTCGCCTTCGCTCTGTTATAGCCGAGAAGGGAAGTAGAGGTGCTGAGATTGTTGATCCATTGTTTGAGAAAGTTTTGAAAGACGTGAGTTCTGCTGTGGAACGTTATTTTTTACAAAGGGCAGTCTTTTTACAGATAGCAGATTTCACCGAACCCATTGCTGTGCCGGGTGGTCAGATGCGACAAGGGTCATATCAGCTCAAGTCTGATGTGAGTCTTTTGTCTTTGATGTATTTTTCTCTGCAAAAGCTATAATTTCAGATGAAATATGTGATCAGGTACTTACTCTTTTTTTTTCTAATTGCTTATGAAATCCTTGAGCTTTCCTTTTGGACTGTAATGAGAAATGGGTTCAGTTAGCGGGAAAGAGCTGAATGTGATCAAATAAATGTTAACACTTTTTTAAACAAGCTTCTAACACATAGAAAACGAACTTTTTGGAAGAATCTAGTTAAGTGAAAAGTATTTAATTCATTTTCGAGTGTCTTTAGGTGCGATTTAACGAGTTTTGTCCGGTGTTGTGCCAGCATCGTGCACTTTCCCCAAAATCTAGTGCCGCTGTATTGATGGATGTGGAAAAATTGTAAGTCGATTGCATTTTTCTAGGAAACAATCATGAAAAAATTGCATAATTCTTGATTGGTTGACTGGAAGATTGAAATTCTATAACCAAGAGCTAATTTTTGCAGGGAGAGAGATCTGCTTAGTAATGAGGAAAAAATTGCGCAAATGTGGATCCCATACCAACTATCGGACTTCTCCGAAAAAACTCGTCACGAATCCGTGCGACATATAGCAAAAGTACTTCTATGCGACCGATTTGTGCAACTTTCCATTGTTGTGCTCGAGGCGGTGAGCTTTTCGTCAAAACTGTGTATTGAAAGACAATGTTTATGTTAAGGGTATTCTTGGAAGGCCTGAGATTCGCGAAACCACCACACAGCTAGTAATCTACCTTCTGTCATTAGCTTACCAGTATATGGCTACACTGCCTCCATCTGAAAAGTATGCAGCTGTTTCGAGGTTCCGAAAGAGTTATGTGGCCACTGAAGGGTTGTAAGTTTTTCAAATCTGTCTCATGCTGGTTTAGATGAGCGGTCACATATTAATAACTTTTGCATTATAGGAAAGTTGTTCAATTACCTTTGCTTGTATTCGTGTTGTTCATCATCGAATGTGAGAAACGAGCCGTGAAAACGAAATTTCTTGAAAGGACAATGGCTGGGGATTTTGACAAGAAGCGTATAGTTGGCGGTGCTGCTGAATATTTGGGACGGCTTGTCACTCT